TAGAATGTCCATTTTAGCAAAGATAAGAGCAATAACCACAATCCACTTCCCATCATTTCGATATTGTAAAGTAATTTCAAGAAAAATTGTAAACATATTACGGATGACATTTGCGAATTAATATTTTTACTGCAAATTACCAAATGAATTTTTAAGTAATTTTTAACTTGAAATAACCACTTACTTACCTTAATATTTTTTCTTTACTAAGATTTATAATTAATGATTAGGAATTTACAGGAATTCAATTATAGGAATTTGTGAGTAGTAAATTATTAATAAGTACTTACAATTAATTAATGTACAAATTACAATAACATCGTAATTTAAAATGCATTAATGTCAATGAGTTATGTTGTTATGTAGGTTTTAAGTGTGGAAATCGCTTCGATCAAAGGATCGAAAGCACGGAAACCGTAAATAATTATTCTAATTTTATTCGATATTCATAAGTGTATCGTGTATGCATTGACCGATACTGATATTTTATTCATATTTATGTTTATGATTTTATTACATATTATAATAAATTATGATAACTTAATAAAGATTAAACTCCTGGCCCCGGCTTCGAAATGTATTTCTTTATCATGAAMATAAATTAATAATCTGTCATAATATTGGGTAATAATAATAATGTAATTATTTTTATGGGTATCAATGCATAATATTATTAGGACGATTAGTGGCATTGGCACTTGGTCAGTGGTAACTAGGAACAGTAGGCAGTGCCCTAATCATGGCGCGAGCCCACGTCTTCACAATCGTATCAAAGTATCATGATGGACTATCAGCATCAGGAGTTCAGGACTCGAACGACAAGAATTCGCTGACTTAAGGCAGGTCAGAAGCAGAACACGGGATACGGAAGCATTGCCGTCTGCCAAACATCGGAACATTCATAAATCTTGTTATTGTAAGTTGTAACCTTGCAACACAATACAGTATACACAACAAAATCGTAACCTCAAAAAATAATTAGATCATCAACATTTTGCAGCTGTTCGATCATGGAACAGAAAACGTAAAACACGTTTTCCGTCGACCGGCTGGCGAGACATGTAATATTGTCGACCACAGACTAATAAGAATAATTCTTATTACTAAGAAAATTCTTATTACTTTGTGTTGTTAACGGGCGGAATGATCAGGAAACACAAGTACGACTGACTGGAAAACTTAATTGGTTGGCTGATAAGTAAACCGGCGTTTTCCCGGTCACCGCGTCGCTTGTTTTCTTCTCCAAGACAATCTGCGTGACAACCGCCGTGATGGTATCTGCAATTGGTCGCCACTTACCAAGGTCGCCATTAGTGGGCCAATCGTGTATCCCGTACTGTCAGTAAAACGACCGGCTGGCTGTGTGGGAGCAGCACCGGTGGCGAACAGCGCTGTATATGCCGTGCGGAACAAACGAATGAAAAGGGCACACACATACACACTCGCACTGACAGGGCACAAACTACTGTTGTTAACACACACTTACACACATGCGACTTTAAATATACTATTTATATATGTATTATGTAGTTTTTTTTTATTATTCCCTCCCAACAACTTCTCTGTCACGCGCACTCGGCTCTCTCTGTCTTTCCGTCGGCTGCTCGCGTTCGTACACCACTATACAGTACACGCTACAATCATTTTCTTCGTATTCATTGCGATGTCTCATCCCGTGTTGCGCGCTAACGTTTCGCGTCGTAACGTACCGTTTGCCGATTTACTCGTCATCGCCGTTGCCGTCGAAGTTACTGCCGCCGAAAGATTGTGAAAAACAATACCATGGAATGGTAGTGCGGAACGCCACTGTTACGGACCGCCGCCGTCATCGCCTCCGCCACCGCCGCCACCACCACCAACGCGGCGACGACAATGGACAACAGTGCGACCCAGGTACACGTTTTGTTTTTTTATTTTTC